GATGCCGTGTAACGCCGAGCTGCCAAAATGTAGCACTCACTCTTGCAAGAGCTTCAAACCCCAGATTATGTCCCTCCACTGTCTCAATTCCATGTGATCGGGCGAATCGCCTGTTTCCATCCATGACAAAGGCCACATGCTGGGGGATAGGGCCCTGTTGGAGTGCGCCGATCAGCAGTTCCTTGAGGCTTGTGATGGCGTACTCGGCAGGCGGAGAGGCGAGGAACCAATTCCGGAGGCGTGACATATGCAATGAGCCCGGCATGATGGATATGTGAAAAGAAGATAAGACCCCTAAACTCCGCAGAAAAAAACAAGAAGTTGGGGTAGAAACTGGAGAGCAGAAGATAAAAGGTGCACGGTTAGCGGCTGGCCGGATTTGGCTTTGTACTACGAAACGCGACGTGGTCAGTTATGATGAAAGTCTTTGCCGGCACTTTCTCGAACAATTTCAGGCGTCGTAATTAAATTCGTAGGCTGCACCATTTTCATGTGCGATTTTAGATCCTATGGGCTTATTTCTGCTCCTGCGCCTCACCTAGCCCAGTGGAAGTGGCGAGGCGAAAATGAATCGGTCAACATCAGCTCTGGGCAACAGCTAACATCTTCGTAATTGGTTGACACACTCGGATGGTGCGTATAGTCTTAAAGTATGATATATTACGGTTCTATCTGTCTGATTTCTAGTAGTTATTTATCTGCCAATACGAATATCTTAATGCATTGGCTGATCTGAGGTTTCAGTCTTCATCTATAAAACAAGTATTACTTACGCGATATTTTACTCATCTCTATCGGGGATGAGTGATCAGGTGGCGCCAAGCTAGAAATCGAGCTTTCTGCTGTCGTCGATCGAGCAAATACGTCGCATAGTGTGCAGTCCAATCGTGTAAAGGATGATGCCTCCTTCTAGACATCTGCTAATTATGATACCAAAGGCTTCCGATTTTAGCAGATCTGCACTACATATAGCATTCATAATAAAAAAAAAAACAAGGGATATCGTGTATGGTTATATAAGAGTAAATACGTACACAGATTTGCGCCGAACACCACACCATGGTTGATGGTCGACATGATAAATGATTAAATGGCCAAGGCAGTACACGTCTCAAAGATCTTTTCGGGACTCATCACCGCTGGATGGTGTTCCAGGGCCTGAGCTGGCCATATCCCAGCTTCCATCTTCGCTTCGACGCCGACGACGTTCTCCGCGCTCCCTCATGGCATCACGGATCCGTGAACTGACATCCTCGAGCGGGTCTTTCGGGGTGAGAGTGCTGAGAGGCTTCAGCCCGTGCCGAGACCCAGGTCGGGCGCTAGCAGATCGGCTGCGGCTACGATTACGACTAGGAGGTCGTGTGGAGAAGAAGCCAATGTTGGCCAGGTTGTGGAAGGATTCGTTGCGGGGGAGGGGCTCTGACGAGGGCATTTTCTCGCCATGTTCTGGCACGCTGGTTCTTCTGATCGCCGGCAGTCCGTTGTCCGCCTTGGTATCGGTGTCGCTCGCATCTCGGAATGGATCTGTGACAATCCGAGCGGCATCAAAGTCGGGGAATAGCTCAGGTCCCATGGTATTGATCGCGTCTGTCACTTGCTGAGCCAGTGCAACGCGTCTCGCTCGAAGTTTCACCAGCGTGTTGGCCGACGATGGGTTCAGAGATAGAACAAGTGGGCGAAGTGATTTGATGATATCCATGCCCACTTCACCGATCCGAAGAGCCGCAAACGTGACTGTGGGGAAGAGTACCATGCCGATCACCACTATCGACCAAAGTGGCACCCAATCTGGAACAAGTCCATTGACTCGGTTCCAGTATGTCCAATAAGTGAGGGCAGCAGTGTAAAAGGCATAGAGCGCCGGAGCAAATGCAAGGGCAATAAGAAGCTTCCATGTGGCCATGACATCTCGGCCTTGAAGTTTCACTGTAGAAGCAGCCAGTGCTTCCCTGGACTTCTTTGCAGAAATGTACTTAGTCGCGATGAAAACCGGGGTAAAGAGCAGGAAACCGGGGAGCGTCCCGATTGTCAAGAGCGCTAATTTGCCTAGGCGATAAATCAACGTGGCCACCACCTGCAAAATGGTGAACTTGGCGTAGGCCACTTGATGATCCCGGATTCCAAGAAGATGAAGCTGTTTGTTATATCCTACAATAGACTTGCGTAAAGCGACAATCCGGGGATCGTCTTTGAAGTGGGCGTAACCTTTCACAAGACGGCGGTTCAGCTCCACAACCATAGGAAGAGGAAGATTTTTTCCTTTGGTGTTGTACAGACGACGGGCAGCTTGGATGACCTTTGAATTGTTAGCGGAAGCAAATCCCCTAAGATATAAAGAAACTTACCATAAGAGTATCATAATCGGGACTAATGACAGTGACCGAGACAAGACTTCCGTAGATGATTTCCAGTAAAGCGCCGACAGACTCCCGTCGTTCACCTTGCTTGAACTGTTCCACCAACTCCGAGGGGATCTCAATTGGATTACCAAACTCAATGACGGCCCTGGAACGGAACTTGTGGGCATGGAAATAGTTCATGCCACAAGGCACGATCTTCAGACCACAGTCCGGGTTTTCAGCCAGGGTGCCTAGAGCCATCAGGGCGACACCAGCTGTATCATGTCAGTAAATCTGCTGTACCTCTTGAATACGAAGAGCTTACCTTTCAAGGGAAGCAGTGTAGTGCGATCATGGCTTCCACCTTCCGGGAAGATACCGACACAGCCGCCTGCGCCTAGCCTTTTGAATACTGCCTGGTAGACTGCGGTCTGATCTACATGCGGAGCAACCTTGAACTTGGTACCCTTGAAATCTGGATCCTGCGCGGATGCATCGCCAGTGAAATTCCCATCACGGTCAATGTCTTGCCGTCCAGTAAGCTGGGTCAGCGCATCCTTGCTGGTGAAAGCCTTCTTGAGTATCAATTCCTCTGGTCCCTTGATCTCGGCGATCGCAGTACTGTATGATGTTCCGTTGATGGTGGGTAGGGCAATGGTTCCGTCCTTTTGGAAGCCTTTCCCTTCAAAGTTGGTTCCCACACCTCGTAGCAGAGTTGGCTGGTTGACCGGGTCGGGAAGATAGATGGTGCCGGTCCCGGGTTTCAAGTTGTCCATAGCACGTGCCACAGGCAGTGTTCCAACTGCTCTCGCCAGAAACCCGATAAATTTCCGTTTGAAAGACTTTTCTGCGATAAGCCATGAGATCCGACGGTGCGCTTCGCTGCGAATGACGCGCATCAATACCAAAGAATCCACGAACTGGGCGAACATCCATTAGTATCTTGTGTGTATGACCGGAAGCGAGCGGCATACCTGGTTCGCATGGGGAGCTGCCACCAGAATGATGGGGCCGCGGCGGGGGATCTTCCATGAACCTCTAGGGTGGACTTCGCGGAAGAAGAGGTCGATGAGCACGGAGAATGACCATAGGACCAAGTCATACATCCACCCAACGAGGGGTGGGATGTACTGGCCCTTTTCTCCCATTGTGCCGTAGAAGCCCGATGGGCAATTTTTCGGAGGAAAGAAGACTCGAGGGTCGTTGAGGGATCGTCAAAGAATCGTGAAAGAATCGGGAAAGGGTTATGATCTCGACATGAAGTCCCTAGCGAAGAGATTAATATGAGTACGGCTAACCGGAAGAGCTTGCCCAGGTGGGGATCCACCTACTTGGCTATTTCGAGCCTCAGATCAGCACGAACTATCCAATATATCCGATAGACAGGGTATTAGAACATGAAATCAAGGGAGAAGCGCAAGAAGAGGGGAAAAGCTGAAATGCGAAACTGAAAGGTTTGAGTCTTAGCGCGCGCTTTGACTCGGACGCTTCTAGAACGTGACATGCTGGAACAAGGCAAGTTCAATGCTACGATTGAACTTCAACTTTGAACTCATTATTCTCTTGTTCCCTCTGTGTAAATTCCAAATATTACATGATACATGAGTTGATATGATCAGTCACACTAAGAAAAGCTCTTGACTATGTTGTACATGGTTAGCCCCTTCTAGGTGAGCACAGGCCTGATCTTGCATCATTTGCGACAAGATAAGATCCCCAGTATGAGATCATTCCGACTTTCCAACAAACACCCCAACACATTTATGCAGAGTGTTGGGTGGATCAAAGCGTCAGGATACTGTATTCCAGGTTTTTGGATGAGATCGACCTGGATGCTATAGCCAAGCGTATTGCGAAGCATTAAGCTCAACACGGTGGAGACGATGTGTTCTATATAGACAGTGGAATACTCCGTAGGAAGTAGTATACTATACAACAATGACTCTTTTCTTTTACTTCTCTTCTTCTCTTTCGTCTTTAACCTTTAGGGAAAGCCGAACTTTCCTATAAATACCGTGTACAGGGTCTTCCTGGCTTTTACTAACTTGACCGGCATCTTGTTAATTCTCGTCAAATATTGCATATCCAAAAGCTATGCCAGCTTCACTAATATTGAAACTTGAGCCCACATACATCAGAGAGTCTCCAGGGTGTTTTGAGACATTGATATTTTGCTTAGCCGACTAGCATTATGCTGACTTAGAGACGGATCAGGTTCCGCGGGAGACAACTTAGCTACATTCATTGACTCGTCGCGCCAATTGCGGGGTCGAGATTTTCATTGCCACAACTACTGCGAAGCTGGAAAACATTTTCACAATTGTGTATTTGAGAGTGGAAGAAAAAAGTGATCGGTTTCCCCGTACAACGTGCAACGCCGAAGTTTGCCCTTCAGCTTTATCTCCCCGCCTGCGCTTGCCCCGCCTTTCCACTTCCACTTCCCTCAATTTGATATTGTAAGTCTGCACTTCATTTGAAACCCTCTGAAAGGGTGGCTTTTTGATCTTGTCTTCGGGGAAATCTACAGATCTTGCTTTGATCCCTCCCCGCAATATCCACACCTTACACCTTCGAAGGTCGGCATTCAACCCGACCACCATTTCTCCCGAGTGTTGGGCTGATTAAAAACAGTGTCACATGCGACTGGAATGATTCTAAATCATGGCTCTCAAGTATGCATCTACCTCCATAGCTGTTTCTCCCCGGGGCCGGCCAGGACCAGACCCATGTAACTTGAAGCTTCTATACTGACTGCCTAGTTGGGTAATGCTTGATGATCAGGGCTTCGTCCGTCTTCCCAACGAGCGTTTGATCTACTCTTCCCCTCCTCGTACTAGTGTCTCTTTGACTCCACCGTCCGGATATAAAGACACAGAGAAACTTTCAGTCCAAAGCAGCGCTGGCTGCATCCACCTCACCAATCAAAGAGTCAGTATTCATCCGTGTCCATGCCCCCGACCAATTTAACCCTCGTCAGGTTGTCTACCTTCCCGTATCCAGAAGCGATGACTTTCAGTCCTTCTCGTCACCCCTGTTGAATGTCCGTGACTCACATGTATCTGCACCATTCTTTGGACCCAATGTATGGACAGCTCTGGTACAACCAGTATCTGGGGGTGGCATTTCACCGTCTCTGCCTGCCGTTCAGTTGAAAGTGACATTCAAGGAGGGCGGAGCCTTTGATTTCCATACCAACTTCGAACGGATTAAGGAACGACTCGAGCAGGCTGTTGAGAACACAGGCGAAAGCACTCGGGGCCGACAAAACGTGGATCTCTCAGCAGTTCATCTAGAAGAGCTGCCTGCATATGAAGCTCCCCCTACTCCTAGCCATGCTAGACCCAGTGAGACACCAGAAGAGTCAGAAAACAGACGAGCATCTGACACTAGCAACGAACCCATGGAACCGCCTCCATGCTATGAGGAGGTTCAGTCGCAGAGTGTAGCCCACGAGCTGGAGGAGAGGCTACGACGGGCCACCTGAGTTTTCGGGAATCTATTTCAATATGTCCTTCTATCACATATTTGAATTGGCTCCTTTCTATTCTCTATCTTATGTACATTATGTCCCCGTCAATTAGCAATTAGCGACACGAAAGCGGTGCTTCCGCACTTAGAAATGGAGAAACGAAGAGTTTATATGCTCGCCAACGTTGGGTCTCAACGAACAATAGTAGAATTATCCTGTACCTCCGAGATCCTTATATCCAGCAGGAATAACTCTAGTACTGACTTCCTCATAAACTGCACTTGTCACGTCCTGAATGGCGTTGGAGCCCATTGGCCAATCACGTGCGGCATAATTGGTGTCTCTCAGCGGCCGGGCCTTTCCGATTTTCCAGTCCGAAAGAAGCAGCTCTTGGGCAAAACCAACAACCTCCTTCAATTACAACCCCCTTCCGCTTTTCCACCCCCACACAAGACCTCCGGTCATCATTCAATTGATCTCTGTCGCAATGGGTCTCTCCGAATTTTTCTCTGACGTCGTCTCCTCCTTCGGTTTCACCGAGGCCCAGGCTGAGGCTCCCGCCCAAGACACCGAAACCGAGACCACCCAGGAAGAGCCCACCGAGAAGGAAGAGTCCGCTTCCGCCTCGAGCGAGTCCACCGAGGAGGCCGACACCGAAGAGGAGCCTTCCGAGGAGGCTGAGGAGGGTGAGGCCGAGGAGGAAGAAGAGGAAGAAGAGGAGGAAGAAGATGAAGAGCCCGAGGACATCAAGCCCAAGCTCGAGGATGGTGAGTGACCTTGTTCTTTTCCTGACTTTTACTATTCTTATTCGCATTTTATTCTCGTCTCTGTCATGCGATCGTTGGACATAGGCTATTGTTCGTACCAATTGGTCTTATGTGTCAGGATCCGCGCGTGGTTGATAAAACCACCAATGGCATTGCAAAGAGGAATTCCACCGGCTATCTCGATCAGAGACTAACTATCACTCTCAGAGTGCGCCCACTCCGCCGTCTGCGCTCCCTACAAGCACCACTACGACGAGTGCGTTGAGCGCGTCACCCGCCAGGAGGAGGATGAGGACTACAAGGGCCCCAAGGAGGACTGCGTCGAGGAGTGTAAGTGCAATTGACATCAACGATGGATTCAGAAAAACCATGCAATTACCTTCCATCGAGTCCGGATTGTGCAACTAACAAAACCCAGTCTTCCACCTCACTCACTGCGTCACTGCCTGCGCTGCTCCTAAGCTCTGGAAGGAGCTGAAGTAAACGACTCTTCCATTGAGTCTTGATTTCGGCGTTCCATCCAACCCTTGCATCGATCCGGCCCTCGAATAACCTTCGCTCTCCACCGCATTGATACCGGGGAAACTCTTGGACCGAAACGCCGGAAGAAAAACCAATCCCTTTTTTATGATGGCTGCCAAGGCGGACTGATAGCCTGGTAGCTTGCCGCCTTGGATTGAGAACGCAGGATCGATCTAGAAACGTGAAATCATGTTTTTGGTCGTTCCTTGCGTGTATGTGTTCGCATATGTATTGTGTTTTCAAGGCAGGGAGGAGGGCTCAGAGGAAGAAACAGAATAATAGATCATTCGCCCTCCTCTCTCAGCCTTGCGTGTACAGATAGCTGGTCTTCCGCCTGTTCAAACTGTGCTTTTGTTATTCTCTTGTTTTAAAACGAATCTCATCTGTCTAGATTGCATTGTGCTCTGGTAGACTAGGCTTAGCCATATCCGACTATAGGATTCATATAACTCGGCTCGTTATTGTCGTGGTCAGATTATCTACAAGTATGCTTAATTCGCTAAGACTGATGTATCGACTCAAGTCCCTGTGGGTGGTCATAGATTCAAAATGTATTAAGGTAATATGGACGAGGTATAACTCGGGCTGACCAGGGACATCAAATAAAGACTCGTCAAGTGCATTATGGCACATCATAAATAAAAAGAGCAAAGCGTCAACAGCTCTTCCGAACTGAGATGGATGAGTCGCTCATCCCAAAAGAAATCTGATACACAAATTCTCTCATGTCTTGATCAGAGTATCAGTATCCACGGCAGAATCATCAGACCTAACCCTCTTAACATCATCAACGGTCCCAGACACCTCCGCGACAGTCTGCATCTCAACACCGCGATCAACTTCCCACCTTCGACGATGAACCTCCCTCCCGAAAAGCCCAATCGTCAACGGAAACGGCGCAGCCAAAACAGCAACCACAGCCGCAAACACCAACGCATTCCGCATATTATACGGCGGCGCAGCCCCAGCCCCAGCCTTCAACGCATCCTGAATAAGAATAAAGCACGCACCAAGCAACTGCCCGCCCGTCCAGCAGATGGTACTCCCAATCTCGGACGACAGCGGATAAGTAATCTCCGCCAGGTATTCTAGCGCAATCGGCAGCATAGCGAACGACGCCGCGCCTAGCAGCGCCATAACCACATATGAAGGCGGGATTCCCGCCGCGCTGCCCGGCGCGAAAATAAGCCCGATATACGTGGCTGCCACTATAGGCACTAGCACCCGGATACTGCCCAGGTAGTGTTTGTACCGGTCTGTTATCGGCGACATGATTGCCGACGTGACGAGTCCCACCACGATCAGGATCGCTCCCGCGATGCCGGCTTCTGTCTCGGAGAACCCGTGCGGACTGAGGATCTGGTTCAGCAGTGAGGAGACGCTGTTGAAGAAGCCCACGTATACGGCGAATGGGATGAAGATCTGCCAGAATTCCCGCGTGGTGATTAGTTTGCGCACTGCGGCGCCTAGGGGCGTGTGCGGCTTTGCGGCGGATGCGCTTGCTGGTGTTGGTGGTGAGGCGGGGAGGAAGAATGATGGGATTGATGCGACGGTGGACTGTTGGGTTTACATGGTGAGCGAGAGCGAGAATGAATCAATGGGTGGGTAGGTTTAGGTTTTTGGGATGGGGTTTCACGTACGATGATCGTGATGTACAGGACCATATTGGGAATATCGGAGGGTTTCGACGCCCATTCTGAGTCGATTAACTGGCCGAGGGCTGCGCCGAGTGGGTTCGCTAGACTGGCAACGGCTGTTGCGCTCGTGCGGCCTTGATCTGAGAACCAGAGCTCGCTGTATCGGGTTGGTGCGCAGAGGCAGAAGGGCTGCGCGAACCCTATTATGATCTGGCCGAGCATCGCGAGCCCGAAGATGCCGCCGTTGGCTCTAGTGCCGGCATATCTGAGCCAGTTGCCGACTAGCAGGAGTGCGGCGGTGGTGACTATAGCTGGTTTGGGGCTGCTTTTGTTCAGGATCCAGATGACGATGCTGGGAGTATAGTTAGTGAATGTGGGATACTTGGAGCGGATATTTTTGTTTTCTTTTGCTGTTTCAAAACAGGCGATTCATGTCTACTTACGGGCTAACAGCGCAGAAGGCGAAGAGGTAGCCAGTGCTCATCCAGTTAATAGCGCTCTCCGAGACATCGAAGTACTCCGCGGCCGTTGTCGAGATGGACGAGAATGTTAACCACTGTTTACGAGCGTCAGCGACATGCGAAATCGATATATGGATCGATCACGAGGGCGCGCATACATCCCAACTGACGACAATATTCAGCAATACCAGTTGGGCTAAGCCCCAGAAGCGTCGCTTATAGACCTTGTAGGTAGGTCGAGAGCCCTGCTCGGTATCTGAAGAGCCAAAATTCGACATGTCCACAGCGAAGTGTGACAGACCAAATTCATTCTGTGTGGGCCTCTATGAGAAAGAGAAACAAAGCGGCCTCTCCCATCCTTTTAGTCTCTTGGCTTTTTCAATGTGACTCTGGGGGATCCGAGGTACACGCAACCGGGTACTTGGCGGTACCTGAGCAGCCCTACTATGACGCTGCATTACGCAAGTACTATCAAGTACTACTGGAGATACACAGCGGGGTTGATCGTCGAACCAAGTGAGGTCGGCTTATCTTAGTTTCCAACTAATATAGTCGTCGGATATAGCACAGTGGGTGCACAGTAGGTCTAGTAGAATGTATCTGTACAATATAGTGGATTTCTCTAAACGAATCACCTCTGAAGACAAAGAAAGTGGAATGACCAACCTTGGATCTCGTATACGTATTCAGGGGTATTGACTCCATACATCTAAATCTATGAATCTGAACCTTGAATCTGTAAATCTATGATATCTACGCCGTACGTGTAGAATACAAATCGAACATCTTACACAGTAAATTGCCGTGGCTGAACCCTAAGGTGATGCCGATCGTATATTTTCTCCTTTGCTCCCCGCCATCTTTTAATATTAGCTACTCCGTGCCTTCGCTAAATACAGATCCCTCTCCACTCTTCCCCTAACCCATAGTGACCCCTACTACATTTCTCTCCGATCGCAAACTCCAGGGCCTCATGATGCCCGACGCCTGTTCCTGAATTTCTCTTACGAATTCCAATTGGAGGGACCCTGGCCATTGAACGACCATGAATTCAAGTATGCGCTCCAGCCAGTCCTCCTACGGGGACTCGCGGTATCCATCGAATATGAGCATAAACGCCTCCGATGCTCCAGGTCCGGTGCCGCCGCTTGGAAAGACACTAGTGGACGGGTATCGAGATACTCTAGACCCCCAACATGAGGACCGGTCGCGGTACAACCCTGTGAGTAGCGACACAACACACCAACCCGGACTCTAGCTGACCATGGTTCCTTTGTTTTTGGTAGCTCAATCCGGATCACCCGCGAAGCTCGGCTCTCCTTAATGCCAACGACCCCGTGGCGATGTACATGTTGACCGAGACCGCGATAGGAGATAGCACGAATTACGAAGTCCTGTCCTTGGAAGAGGTGGAAGAGCTGAAGAAGGAAATGACACTACTTTCCATTCGCATCCAGGGCACGAAGCGGAAACTGACGGTCGAAACAAAACTGCGTGACGCGGCGCAGTCTCTCGGTAGGCTCTACAGCCCGCCCAGTCCACGGAGCAGCGGCGAATACAATACCAATGGTGGTTCGAACTCGAACCGGATGAGCCGGGGCATATTTGGTCGCAGTGGGGCTTCTGAGGCCCTCGAAAAGAGCGACTCTGAACTCGCGGTCAGCCAGAGACGATGTGAGGAGTTGGCGCAGGAACTCTGGAGGTTGGAGAAGAGGTCTCAGACGATCTGCCAGCGCTTGCTGGAGCACACTGCGGGTGTCTTGCAGATGACACACAAGGGTCTGAAGAAGGGCCGTAAGAGCCCTGCTCCGAGCACTTCGGATAGCACCTATGACAAATTCGACGATCGCAGTCTCTACCGGACAACTGAGAATTTGGATAACTTTGGCTTGAACGGAAAGACCGAGACCAACGCGGCCGGCGTAATGAATACCGAGGCCATGCAGGCTACAGAACGACGATTGGAGGAACTTAGCGCGCGCATGCATGACATGATGATACAGTTCAACCCCGGTGAATCCATTGACCCTCCCCCGCAGCTGTCAGAGGATGGAGGGCCTGTCAATCCCACAGCAACGGTCGACGCTCACTTGGACTATATCAAGAATAACATGGATAATATCGTCTTGCACAGGGGAGACGTTCCTGCTCCCGTGGCTTCTCGCGATATTGTACCTGAAGTCGAGTACGCTTGGAAGCACCAACTCACCGAAATCAACAATCGAGTGCAAACCATTGTTGATCGGTTTGGTTTGACTCGTTCGCCCACCTTGCCTCCACTCCCTGATGCGTCTCACGGCGAGGGGCTGGAAGAACAACTCTCATACCTTCAAGCTGGTGTAGATGGCCTGGAAAGTCGAGTGGATGGAGTACTTGAGCAGAAGAGTATTCTAACCACGCAAATCCAGCAGCAACGCGAGCTCAATTCCAAGTCGGATGCCGAACGCGATGCCCAGATCGGAGAACTGACGGAACAGTTGACCCAAGTTCGCAAAGAGCTCGAAGTATCCGAACGTGAAAACAACGCCAACCGCGATGAGCTGGCTCTTGTCATGGCGCAGCTCAACGAAATGCGCCACAGTGGCTCTTCTCAGGAAGAAGCCAAGGCGACTCTGGTTCAGGCCGAGGGCGAAGTCGCGCGCTTGCAAAGCGTCATTACCTCGTTGCACAGCGAAGCTGATGCCAGGACTAACGAAGTTAGCGATGCTCGGGATGCCCAAGATCAAGCAGAGGCCGAGATTAAGCGCCTAGAACAATATATCGACGAAGTGCAGAGAGACAATGATACTAAAGCCGAGGAACTCAGTGATTCCCGCGACCGCGCTGAAGGTGAGGTCAAGCGTCTCCAGGCCGTCATTGCGTCGTTGGAGATTGATACCGACGCTAAGAGCCAAGAGGCCAGAGAGGCCCGCGACCGTGCGGAAGACGAAGTCAAGCGTCTAGAGGTCGTCCTTTCATCATTGCAAAATGATAACGACACTAAGACTGAAGAGGCCAGAGAGGCCCGTGACCATGCGGAAGACGAAGTCAAGCGTCTAGAGGTCATCATTGCGTCGTTGCAGAATGATAATGCCACTAAGAGTGAAGAAGCAAGAGAAGCTAGAGAGGCTTGCAACCACGCGGAAGACGAAGTCAAGCGTCTAGAGGCGGTCATCTCATCATTGCAAAATGATCTCGACGCTAAGACCGAAGAAGCCAGAGAGGCCCACGCCCATGCGGAAGATGAATCCAAGCGTCTACATATCATCATTGGGTCTCTGCAAGACGAGCACGGTGCTAAAGGCGAGGACGTCAAGGAAGCCCGGGACCGCGCGGAGAACGAGGTTCAACGCCTACAGAGCGTCATTGAAACGCTGCAGAACGATAGCGATTCCAGATCAGAGGAGGTCAGGGGTGCCCGTGACCGTGCAGAGCAAGAGGTGGCTCAACTCGAAACCGCAATCCAACAGATCCGGATTCAATCTGATGCCCGCATTAAGGAAGCAGATGATCAGCGCGCGCAGTCCGACCAGAACGTCACTCGCCTGCAGAATGAGTTGACTGAACTTGAAGGCGAGATTGTGCGGGTCACAACTGAACTGACAATGGCCAAGGCAGAGCTGGATGGTGCCTATGGTAGCCGAGCCGAGCGCGCGGCAGAGGTGGCTTCCAACCCTAATGTCCAAAGGGAGAACGATGCTCTGGTTACCCGAAATATCGAGCTCACCGAAGAACTGGCCTCTCTGAAGAGCCACCGCGGAGGTGCCGATCTTCAGCAGCGGGCGGATAACCTTGAAAGAGAACTTCGCGAGATTATCGATGACTACGAAGCCATGACAAAAGCCAGCATCGAGTTTGAGAAGGAACGCGAACGCTTCGAAATTTTCATTGACACTCTCCGGGATCGTTGCGAGCAACTCGAGACACAACTGGCGGAAGAACGTATCAGCTGGATGAACTTGAGTAGTCCCACATCTGTTGGCCGCGATGGCGCTTCTGAGACGACATCTACCATGGTGCTCAAAAATGAGTTCAAGAAGATGATGCGTGACACACGCAACGAGAACATGAAGATACTGAGGGTGAGTTGTCTTTGTGCCTTTCTCTCTTTTCTAACTAACACCTCCTAGGCCGAACAAGAAGAGCGTCGCAGACTTGAAGGGTTGCTGCGAGCCCTAAGAAAGGAGCACGCCCAGGTGACTGGCAAGCCAATTCCCAGCCCAGGTGGCACTCCATTATGATCATGACATTCAACGTTTTCGGGTTTAGAGCGCATATTCATTTGAGAGTGTACATATAGATTGTTTTGTTTTGTATAATATTTTTTGGCTTGATCTCGGCAGGCACGATGAGGGTTTTCAGGGAAATCACATACTCTTCTTTGGGTATTCCCATCTATTACTCTTTCCCAGTATATTTTTATCTTGACCAGGCTTCGCTCCTTTGCCTTCAAGATGATGGCCCGAGGAAGAATCGATCAGTCTAGTAACCCTCATTCACAGTTTATTTCAGCATCACAGAGCCTCCGACGTGGAAAGCACCCTCGCGATTCCGACTCCACTTCGCCATACGATAACCTAGACTCATTTGAGTCCACCCTAAGCGATGAACGATCTATATACAATGCGATCAGAGTCACCACGCCAAATAATTCCAGCCCTCGTTTCTACGCGTCTCTCCTGCAAGAGAACCCCGTTCACGAGCAAGGCCTAGCGGTAAACATGGCCAGATTCGTTCCTTCAGATTCACAGGATGATCATACTCCGATGACTGTGCCAGCCAGTCAAGGAAGACGACAGAGAATGGCAAGGAAGCTTGGGAATCACACCAAGCTTTTATCTGACCAGTACTGGCAAGCCACACACCGGTCGAGACCTCCTTTGAGTGGAAATACATCGGTACCAGACCGCCGTCCGTCTTTACATCGCAAGGCTGTTTCCCTCGGTGATGCTAGTATCCGTAGGCCTAAATGGCCTGGGAACTTGGGACCTGCAGTAACGATTATCCAACCTCGATATCCACCGCCAGAAAGATCGCCTACACCCCCTGGCCTTCCCTCCTTCGGCACATCAGAAGCTATGAGCATCTCTGCGCGGTTCATGATCCCAGATAACAATGCACGGCTATCCGCAAATATGCAACGTGGAGGTTCTACTAGTGGTCAGCGTGGCACCTCGTATGGCGACACCCTAAGGAGATTCTTTGGCTTGCCATCTTCTGCGTCTCATGCTAGTTGGATTTCCGTTAATGGGATAGGAAGAGCCGAGGATGGTACGCTAGTACAGGGCCGGTTCCCTCATCGACAAAGTGGACATGGGATGAACATGGGTCGACCGCTGCAGGACCACCCTTTCCACCAACGCAATCTTTCCGTTGCCCACCGCGAAGCCACATATACAAGCTACGATCGTTATGGTGAAGGTGCACACACAAAGGATAGCTTTGGGAGAAACCCAAGCAGGCGTGCCCAGCCTCCCGCCAGGTCCTCTAGGCGACATTTTCCCTCTCCATCGAACCCGGTCCCTGCTGTAGTAAATCGCCCACCGCGGCCCAGAGCTAATAAATTTCTCAGCTTGTCGCGCAAGCTGGCTAGCTCAAACGGTCCTACAAATTCGGTGGAGTCTACTGCCCAAGGAACGAGGGCAACTGGCGACCACATCCCTCCTAGGCCATCGCAGTTGCAGTCGGTTTTCACGATGACTGTCTGCGGCGGCAGTGCAAATGAAGGCCGTCACACAAACATGCCCGTATGTCCGGATGTTCTGTCGTGGGTGAAAGCGCAGTCTTTCCTCTTCTGCTGCCCGGGCAGCCATGATGAGCCGGATGATTCGCTTGGAGCAACCAGCTCACGGGACACATATGTAACCGCGCAGAGCCAGGTATCGCCTGCTGGATCTCAGAACGAGGGCAGTGATGAGAATACTCATCTCCATGGCTTCCAGACATGGATCTCATCTTTGTACGGTGTCATGTTCCCGACCCCTATGACCCCTGCCGCTGTTTAGTCTTTCATTCGAAGTATATGCATCTCCATGACCCCTTGCAATAATACTGTGGTGCTAGTTTCTTTCTTTTGTGAATGCTCAGTGCATGAACGCACTTGCTGGATGGTCTATCATTAACTCGAACGTCCTGTACATATGTACCGAATTATACCTGGCACTCGAGACATTTCCCTTTCCGTTTAAGTGCTCACTTCTCGCCGCTTTTCTGATCGTAAAACGTCATGTATTTCGCGCCATTGCTCAGTAGGTCATAAACCGAAGACAAGCCATCAAGAGTGATCGGTATTACTAAACTTCTAAGGGTCCATAGCTATTTCATTTTAATCCTAGAAATTCTACGCTTCGCCCGTTCTTCTTAGCATTTCTGCCTTAAGTGATGCAATTTTCAAAGAGGTACATAAGTCTAGTCACTTGCTCCGAAAACAATGGTCTTCTCATTCCTCTGCATCTAAATTACTTGGCCAAATACAAAAAGACTGCATTATCTTAGTTAAATAGAGAATTTTTCGCCATATTATATAAATTGACCATTACACTCGCATTACCACGATGTTCCGTCAGGCTCGTCTGTTTCCAATAGAGTCTCGACTAGATCCATTTATCCATTGTTCGAGACCTCGTCTATTGAGGGGTATACCGACCGGCTCATTTAGGATGCCACTTTCATCAGAGGATCCGAAAATAAAGGAAGGGTCATAGGTCACGGACGACCATTCTAAGCTTTAGTTATTCTGATTGTCTTCAATTTAGGATTCGCCGGAGACTTCTCCAAAAGAACAAATGATAAATCAACAACATATTGTCTATCAATGCAAGTAGTCCTTATTCAAATAAAGGTAGGCAGCTCTTTGCTTTCCTCTTCTCGAAATGCGCTATAAAAATGATCTGGAAATAGTTTGGGCCAAAAATTCCAGAGAAGGGCCGATGCAGCAATTGTTGGGATAATGCACACCCAGTATATCCACAGCTTGTCCGAAACTCCCCAGCCCGACTCTGCGTCGTAGTGGAAGAATGACATACTGAACACTGCACAGAGGAATGTTGGTGGTAAGAATGTCGTAGTAATAAATGCGAGTGTCTTCATAGTAGCGCTGTCCGACCGTGTAGCACGGCTAATATCAACAGTGATACTTGTGTCATGCTGGGAGACAATATTGAATGCCAGCTGAATTTCGTTTTGGAGTCGTAGCTGATTTGATACAGACCGGTGCCGTATGCTGCCGATATAGCTCTGGAAGAATGCCAACCGCCGGGAGATCCGTTGATGGGATTTAGGTTGAGGTTCCACTTGCATGCTTTTTATATAAATTTCATGCTGTTGAACGAGATGCTCAATGTTCTGGACGGCCACATCTAGTGACTCGGTAACATGAATTGCATGCCGAGCGATGTCATGGAGTCGCCTGTAATTGGGCTTGGGCTTTTTGTCTGCAGGCCTTTGTTCTTTCTCGGCATCTCGAACATGATCTCGGATGCCCCATACTGAACCTTCTTGAAACCGAACAACCTGTTCTAATATATCGGGGTACATCCAAAATGGGTCATCAAGTTCTGTCAGATTCGGATCAAACAGTGGAGTCGAGAGGTTATCGGTTGGGTCGAATAGCAGAATGCCGGTCTGATGAGTCGACTCTAGCCATCGCGTAAAGAGCTTTATTTTAGACCAGTGATACTTCGCGTCCCTAGCAATATGCTTGACTTCGAAAAATGCCCAGGTGTCTAGTAGTGGTATCGGTAGAGTGTGAGCGCCCTTTATTATATCACAAGGACAAACATAAAGCAGACTTACTGAACCCAGCTCCCCCTACATGATCTGTATCTTCGCATCCAAAGTAGCCGTTTGCATTACCAAGATGCTCAGCCCACCAGAATTTGGGAATGCAAAATGCATCCATGAATACTTGATGAAACTGGCGAGAACTGCGGATATTCTTTGCGCTTGTCGTTCTGTTTATACTACTTTTAGTTTATTTTCTTATGGGGCCAACCAAATAAGCTGGACTCACATAATATATACTTTGGTATCTTCTGAAATCAATGAGGGTGGACGTGTCGGGTTGTCTGTTCGCAGATCTTCCAGACGGGCTTCACTTTTGCGCCAGCCATGTTCTATACTGTTAGTACTGTAACATAACAGAGTATTTGAGAAATATACCTTCATTCCACTGCCAGACGGATAAATCAGAGCTTGTTATACGAGAGTTCGGCATAGTAGTATTGTACTAAAGGGTGATTAAGCTCAGTGTATAAGAAGTATAAGAATGACCCAAGTTTAAGTCAAAAAATCCAGGGAGGCTGTTCCGCTTTGACGAGGCTGTGTTGAGCGCTAGAAAGCAAATCTTGCATAGGCGGAATCACATCGATCCACAAATTGTTGCCTGACTGAGTAACCAAGTCACAGTACTAAGATAGTGGCTTGAATCATCTTTTCATGACGTCACATTCGTTGAGATATGAATATGACAATTCATACGTCTATTTCCATTACGCTCCACGGTCAACAGGACTCACTAACTAACAGTTATCGTATTCGGTAAGCAAGCCGCCCACCCCAGAACACCTATAGGAAATACGATATATGGTATATAGAGGTAATTAACATATATGTGCGCATGCCAATATGCCGAGTGTTTCAGGGGAACGGTATAACCGAATGATATTCTGCTTTTGTTTAGCTGACGGGGTTCAGGGCGACGGGCACGCTACTGAACATCAGACGGACGTGACATTGTCGACTTTTGGATGCCACCGTTAGGGTGCACAGGTCACCCATTTTGACTGGTCCACCCAATGATGTTCCAACATAATCCAGCTGAGATCCGTGCGACGGTTGCGCGATGAGGTGGGGGACGCATATTATGGTAAGTGAATTTCGACCCCTACATACAGGTCTGACGTGGCATAAATCCATAGCCCATGACCTGGTGATGGAAGTGAGAATTCTCCCCATCTTTTTTCTTGGGGTCGGTGGCTTCTCGATAATATTGTGATCGGGTTCTGGAAAAAAAGGTTTTAACTGATAATCCAATGATTAAACATAACCAATCAACCGCTCTCTGACAAAGTCGTGGTTTCTTTACATAAATCACAGTGCATCTTGAAGAAAGTATTCAAGCGGATGGAAATCAACAGACGGGTACTATATCCTACAGTAACTACGTTAGGAGAAACACCCTATCCTTTGAGGCTAATCTCCATGGTGATAGTTCAATGTATATTCGCATTAAAAGCCTGCCTCATCTCAACTTTGGCGCATCTCCTCTCGCTTTTGTGCTGCTGTATTAAAGATATTATCATTAATACCCTCACACCTGAGTTGGTCGTTAGAGAGAAGTCGGAGACTGGGAATATTCACATTTCGAAGATTTGATCTAGGATTTCCTCTCTAGCAGTAGCTTCACCACAGCATCGTGCCCATTTCGGTCGCCCAGGAGAGCGGAGTTCGACCAGAATATATAGTTTGAGAATCGACGGCAGCATGGCTCTCAAGTAGTAGCTTCACCACTATATCGTGCCCATTCTCAGCTGCTAACAAGAGCGGGGTTTGGTTATATATATCTGCCAATCTTTGTTCTTGTGTGAGTCCGCATAATCGCAGATTCCTCGGATAATGATGCACGGGAAGTTGTTCATCAGCCCCGCTGCTTCCATTTCGATGTAAAGGAGATGGCCACCAAGATCTTTGTTAAGTTTATTTCGGAGAGCAGCATCTTTGATGACCTGGTTTCCTGATGCGATCAGACCGAAGTGCACAGACATATCTCTTGGTTTCCTCCGCACAATTTGTGTTTTATCGCAGAATCGGCAGCTCTCTTCCTCGTCCTCATCCACATCGTCAACATTCGAAGTATCATCGAGATCCAAGGGGCACCTACTTACATGTCTATAATCTACTTTGAATAATATATCCTGCAAATCAGACGGCAGGTACTTAGGTACAAGTCTCAGCCACCTCTCCCTCAATTCCTTTAAGTACTCCGGTATCTTAGAGCTAACCAAGTCGTGCTCCGTCTCTAACGCCGTCAGAGCCGTAAGCAGAGATATAGGCGGATTATTTAGCGACCCAGTCCGTTCGAAGCTACCGCCTTCTTTCGCTTTACCAAAGTCCTATTAGACCACGCTAGGAAATTGGCCTATAGGTATACTGACCACCATATCGCCTAGCTTACCTTAGGTAGGATACCGCCGTCGATACCTACCATTAGGCTAAATTTAATAGATAGAAAAGTCGAGATCATCTAGGTAGTAACGTTCGCTACCGAATTATTTCTAAACTAGCCTTTAGGAAGGCAGGCTATCATAACGTTATAGTTACTAACAGATCCAAGTGTATAAGTATTAGGCTCATTTCGCGGTTTCGGGAGCCCGACGTATCTTCGATCTAGTATAGCTATCGCCGCGGTCTACTCTTTTAGTAGAGTATATACCTACCCTATAGCGTATTCCTTATAAGTTCTGGGTTCGGTATCTATCTACGCAGTTATTGTAAGAGGACTGGACCAGGCCTTTAGGCTACCGAAGGTCAATATCGATATTAATCAGCTGTAGTCGGTTCTGGTCGATCATAGGGCTCTAGTTTATTTCAAAGTAGATAATAACGAGTTAAAGGTAAGCTAAAGCCCTATATACAGAGGGAGATTAGTGCTATTAAGCGAAAAGAAGGGGAGAATTCTCTCAAAATCCCACTTCCTTTACCGGGTCATAGGCTGAGTATATTCGGCCTTATAGGGCTTTGCCGCGTCAGACCTGTATGTGGCTCAGAATTCACGCTATAATCTATAGCCCCCATCCTGAGTCACTTAGGTATGCCTAACTGATGCCCGAATCCATACGAAACCTGCTACTTTCTCACCCCGTCTATCTCGATATACAGGATTAGATAAGCACCTAATAAGTAACGTAATTCACATGCGAGCCGCCACCACAAGCGACCCGCCATCTCCAAAACACATAGTAAACACCATATTTGACAACCTGTGTATCTCAACAACAATGTTATACCCTGATCTAATTATTCTTAGATAGCGATCGATAAGGATCTTAAGCTCAGCATCTTAATATTAAGGTAATCAAGCCTCTACTTTATTACGGTTTCGAAAATTACATTGCCTTGAGCTTGAAATATCTTGAAATATATATATCACGACCACAAAGTCATAAAACTTATCCAAACTTAGCAAAGCGGCTAGATATCACCTAAGAAGTATCAAGTTATAAGAAAGACCTCTTATAGACTCCCGTTGTTGAGATATCAGGTTGTATTTTATCACATTTACTATGTGTTTTGGAGATGGCGGGTCGCTTGTGGTGGCGGCTCGCATGTGAATTACGTTAGAAAGTCTGCTAACGAGTAGTTGATTAAATATTAGTATGTTAATGTCTATCAGATCCCCGTAGGGAATATAAGAACCAACAACCCAATAGGCCTAAGAGTATAGATCGTTTCCCTGGATATGGAGCACTAGGGTCCTTCTTAGTGGGGGTCCATCCAATACCCCATGCGTTCGGCCATGGGAGAGCTCTTCAATTGTGGTTATTTCCATTACAGCGAGCCATCCGTTTCCGCACCTCTTCTTTAGTCAGAATCTTCACTACATCCTTAGGGAAGAGATAACCATGACCAAATCAGACAGTTATAATAGCCACGGTGAATCTATTTTCTGCGATCAGCTTCGATCAGGGACAGCTCAGGCCACTAAGTTGGGACTAGGGCGGCAAAAGGAAGTTTCCAAACGAATCATAAAGAAAAAGGTGAATGCAGACATACAACAGTAGAGATTCGCTGGTGGTCACCCACCCAACTACTAACTTACCGGCGTGTGGCTTATACGCAGTCAATATGTAGTCGGGTGGGTGTCGCCCGGGCAAGAAGGGTGAGTGCACTATAAACAGGGTGAGAAGCTGGGTGAGATCAGGGTGAGATTCACCCCAGGTCGCGCGCGACGGGCGCACTGACCCCCTCAGGTGACGAGGACCGTGACATGATTGGGTTATAGGTTGACTCTGGAACACGTAGTCCCTTGGCATCTGCACACAGCCCCAAATGAGATATGGCTTGAGTCCAATTCGTTGTTGTGGCTTTAGTCGCCCTCTTCAACGACTGCTTTTCTTTTCTCAGGACCCACTTTCAAGGCACTAGCGCCAATTTTCATTTAACGGACATCAATATAATCCCCCCTGAATGTATTTCCCTGTAATTTACAGCGAAATTACGGACCATATGAGTGCATTCCAAGGCTGATCTTAGCATTTCTTTGCTTCGAGGGGATGGAGAAGACGGCTCCTGCCAATAGCATCTTTTCTCTTACCGCTCGCTGCTGCACATCGTGTACATCATGAGGCTGGGGGGGGGGGGGGGGGGGGGGGGGGGGGGGGGGGGGGGGGGGGGGGGGGGGGGGGGGGGGGGGGGGGGGGGGGGGGGGGGGGGGGGGAT